AAAAAAATATAAAATAAATTAGAAATAAAAATAAAATATAAAAAATATAAAAAATATAAAATACATTAAAAATACAAAATATATAAAATTTATATAAATATATAAAATATATAAAATATATATAAAATATAAAAAATATTAAAAAACATTACAAATATAAAAAGTAAAAAATGCTAAAAAATATAAAGAATATAAAAATATATAAAAATATTAAAATATGAAAAATATGGAAAATCTAAAAATATTAAAAATATCATAAATATTAAAAATATAAAAATATAAAATATATAAAAATATAAAAATAAAATAAATAATACAATATAAAAAATTGGAGGAAATGTGAGGGAAAAAATGAGAAATGTGAGGAAGAAATGGTGGGAAAAAGAAAGGGGAAAAGGAAGGAAATGTGAGGGGAAAATGGGAAATATGAGGGGGAAAAGGGCGGGAAACGTGAGGGGAAAAGGAGGAAAATGTGAGGGAAAAAATGAGAAATATGAGGGGAAAATGGGAAAAGTGAGAGGGAAAAAATGGTGGGAAATTTGAGGGGGAAAATGGTGGAAAATGTGAGGGGGAAAATGGGAAAAGTGAGAGGAAAAAATGGTGGGAAATTTGAGGGGAAAAGGGAGGAAAATGTGAGGGAAAAAATGGGAAAAGTGAGAGGGGAAAATGGTGGGAAAAGTGAGAGGGGAAAAGGGAGGAAATGTGAGGGGAAAAAAAAAGAAATATGAGGGGAAAAAAGGGCGGGAAAAGTGAGAGGGGAAAATGGTGGGAAACTTGAAGGGGAAAAGGGAGGAAAATGTGAGGTAAAAAATGAGAAATATGAAGGAAAAAAGGGCGGAAAAAGTGAGGAAAAAATGTCGAGAAAAGGGGAGGGGAGAGAAAAGGGAGGGAAATTTGAGGGGAAAAAGGTGGAAAATGAGAGGGGGAAAAGGCAGAAAAGTGAGGTAATAAAAGAGAAATATTAGGGGGGAAATGGTGGGAAATTTGAGGGGAAAAGGGAGGAAAATATGAGGGAAAAAATGGGAAATATGAGGGGAAAATGGGAAAAGTGAGAGGAAAAAATGGTGGGAAATTTGAGGGGAAAAGGGAGGAAAATGTGAGGGGAAAAATGGGAAATATGAGGGGGAAATGGTGGGAAAAGTGAGAGGGAAAATGGTGGGAAATTTGAGGGGAAAAAGGAGGAAAAGTGAGAGGAAAAAATGGCAGGAAATGTGAGAAAAGAGTGGGAAATGTGAGGGGAAAAAGGCAGAAAATGTGAGGTAAAAAATGAGAAATACGAGGA